AATAAAATTTCTTTGCCTATAGTACATGTACAGTTACAGTTCAGTACAGACAAGTAAGGAATAAAGACCAGGAGCAAGCAAGTAGGTCAGCTAAAGCTCGGGGCAAGCCAAAGATCTGGGTGCCGAGTGGACTGTGATGCCGCGGTTGGGACTGTGAATTTGCCGACCCGAACCTAGCTGAGGAGGGGGTCGATTTCGGCGCGCGCCCGCGCCAAATCGCGTCACGACGCGATTTCCGCTGGCGAAATTCACAGTCCATAGCCTTGGCATTTACAGTCCCTCGGGTAGATATCTGGTTACCTCACCCGCGCGTTCGTAGAGTTCCCGAGCGCCTGATGCGCTTCTTTGACCCTCAAATATCACTAACAATAGCATAGATTATATTTGCATGTACATACAATATTTGAAGCGCGGGAGGCGTGTATCTGGCCCTCCAGCAGGCCGGGATGGACGGGGAATGGGGAGGCCGGGGTCCCAAAAGGCGTGGGAACTGGGACTGTAATGGACTGTAGCTCCCCCGCCACAGGACCGTAGATCTCACGGAAGAAGTCAATGTCAATCCGGCTACGTGAAGTGCCGACTCACCCGAGTGAAGTAAAAGTAGTCATACCTTTACTCTCGCATCTAGTAGCTATAGGCTGGTACTGCAGTGTGTCCTTGCTCTATCTTGTTACTGAGGCTGGTGATACATACACACATGAATGAGAGTGGTGGTTTGCGAGTACAGATATGCAGTAAGTATTAGGGGTGTAGCAACTAAGACTCAGGTCTATGCTTCTGAATCGGACGGGGATGGGGCATTGCATATGGGACATCAAAGAATCAGACTGTATTGCACTTCAAGGGCTGCTAGTCCTAGGTCTACAATCCGCCGCCGCGGTGTCTCCAAGTTTCTACAATACATTCTGTTGCGCAGGTCCGACAGGATACTATCAGTCTCAACATCATGATCTTGCTACGTGAACTCGAAGTCACTCACGCATTGACACCTTGTCTGACCCCGTCAGACCCCAATTGACCATTGACGATTGTTGGCAATTGGTCAAGGGGTCGGGGTTTGACCGTCCCATCACTGCCACTGGTTGTGGGTTCCTTTCCGTTCGCACGGTGCATTACTTCCGAACAGTTCCTTATTTGACGGTCCGCAAGGCTATCCAAGTTAATCCCTTTCGCGGCCGAATCTCCAATAACGAGTCATATTCTAAGGGGTATATGGAGTGGCTGCACAGCCAAACAGGTGACTCTTCATGATTAGACGTGCTTTGAACATATATAAGCATGTCCGAAAGGTGCCCAGTAGACCAGCGACCAGGATGATTTCCACTCCAGCTGTGGCCGGGACTTCGCAGATAGTGACGCTCCCTCTCGTTGAGGAGTTGTGCAATTCCAACTTCCTCGACGTGCTCCTCCCTGCTGCGGAGACCACGGATGTGTCTATGGCGCCCGCGGGCGAGGCATCGCGGAATCCCATGATGGACGCGCTGAAATCCACGGCTAACCAGACTCTGACGTGGAACGGCTCGCCCGCATTCGAATCTACCGGTTCAGCGATGTTGGACGCCTTCCAGCACTTGAACAGGTACGCGTCATGGGATATCATCGACTCGTGTTTGTCGAAAGCCTGGGAGGAAGATCCTGCCCTCACCCTCAGGCTGATATGGAATACCAGAAGTATACATGACGGGAAAAGCGAGAAGGAGTTGTTCTACCAGTAACGCTTCTCTGTATCCTTATAGAGACGGTTACTGATACTCTGGGTAGAGCCTATGCCTGGTTGTACAAGAACCACCCTAGAACAGCCATAACGAACCTGCCACAGCTGGTGGCTCCAGTCTGCAAACGCAAGCAAAAAGATGGAAAGCGTCGGCACGGGGCGTCCCACGGCTATTGGAAGGACCTACTCAATATCCTTCTCCTTGCGACTTCGGACGAGCTGGGCGGCTTGTTCATACCCTCTAACGCAAAGGCTCTGCACTACCCCAAGCAAGCTCCTACGGTTTCGTACTGGACGAAATACAGGAAGCGGGAAGGTATCTTACTTGCCGGCGAATCTCCTGTGGAAGCTCCCGCTGCCAAAACCCCTGCTGAGAGAGCGGCGCGCGTCGCCGAGCACGTGAAGCTGAACGCCGAGCGGAAAGCGAAAGCGAAGGCTGAGCGTGCGAAGGCAGCTGCAGAGGCATACGGTCACTTGGAGCGAAAGCTTAAGGACAAGAAATATCGAGCCTTGTACATCGCCGTCGCACGGCTGTTTGCAGACAAGCTCGCCGAGGACCTGCAAATACTTCAGAAATTGCGGGGCCTGCCGGACAATAAGGAGCATCGCAAGGAGCGGTCAGACCTCCTGTGGCAGCTGTCTCTCGCTGGGAAATGGGCGCCGACGCCAGGCCAGGCGCACGACCGGCGCACGAACATCGCGACGGCCGTGTGCTACCTGCTGCGCGAGTCGGGGCATATCCGCTCGTCCGTGCCCCCCCAGGGGCGATCCGGGTGGCAGGTACTGGAGACGCACATATTCCGGTCGTACTACCAGCGCTGGGTTCTGACGCCTCTCCGGGCGGCGCTGCGCGTCCCGGAGCCACTGATGTCGGCGAACCGGTGGACGGAGATCCAGTACAACCGCGTCCCGTCGGTCTGCATGAACGTGAACATGGTGCATTTCGCGCGGCACGACAGGGACGGGTTCTTGCGGTACATGGTGAACGTCGAGTCGGGTAAGAAGACGATCAGCGGCGCAACTCTGATGCCGTACGAGGTGGTCAAGGGCGTCATGGACCTCGAGCAGGACTTGTGCTACGAGCCAGACGCCCGGGCGAAGAAGCCGTCGCTGCAAGACGTGAAAAAGGATATGGCGGAGATGAAGTTGCGGGTTCTCGAGGGGCAGTGGAAGTCCCTTGTAGCGCGGCTACGGGAGTCAGGGGCAGTGGAGAACTCGCTCGCAGTCTGCGACGTCTCTGGTTCGATGATGTGGGCCAATGCCAACCAGAAGAACGTGCAGCCTATATATCCCGCCATTGCTTTGTCTCTGATCCTGGCGCAACTCGGGAAGCCGCCGTTCAATAATGGGTTCATCACCTTCTCGGCGAATCCGAAATTCGTACAGGTGGATGTCGAGACGAACGGCTTGAGGAAGAGCGTCCAGCAGATGGTGAAGGCGGAGTGGGGGATGAATACGAACCTGCACGCCGTCTTCGTCGATCTGCTGTTGCCCCTTGCAATCAAGAACGAGATCAGACAGGAGGACATGATCAAGCGCCTGTTCATATTCTCGGATATGCAGTTCGACAGCGCGGAGGGCACGTCGGTGGACCCAGCGGACTGGCAGACGAACCATGACGCGATCGAGAAGGCGTATCATGCGGCAGGCTACGAGATGCCTGAGATCGTCTACTGGAACCTCTGCGACTGCTTTGCAAGCGTCCCGGTCGAGGCCGAGCGGACAGGCGTTGCCCTGATGTCAGGGTTCTCGTCAGCGATGCTGAAGACCTTCATGGGCGAGGATGACGAGTCCGAGCAGGAGGACTGGATAGCTGTGGACGAGAAAAGCGACGTGAAACCGGATGCGCAGGCTGGAAAGGAAGAATTCAATCCTATCAACATCATGAAAAAAATCCTAAGCAGAGCTAGCTATGATGGACTTGTGATCGTGGACTAAGTTTTGCATGCATTGGATATCTGTAAAATCTATACCCATCTGTATTATACCCGCACATCTCATTCACTTCAATCAAGAGGCGCTTGAGACGAATATCTCTCTTCAAATTACCCGCGGTCCAACGTGAGATTTATGGTTGAGGATCGAAGTAAATCGTGACTAAGTCGAACATACATAGTCGCTTCCTATCCGTGGGAATCGTTCAAACTCCCACGAATACAACTCTTACCAGCACTGCCACTACGGACTTCATCTTCGATCGGTGGCATCCCCATGACCGTTCACATGCATCCACTCTATCGCACTTGCAGCTATTGGCCGGTAATACGCAGCTCCCATGATCTTGCGCGTATTCTGATTATCAGTCTTCCAATGCTTTAAATACGAGGGATTTGGGTAGTAGCGATGACAAGTCAGTCCTTGAATTAATCCTACAGCCCGTCCACCTTGTAAGGTATGGATTCCCTCTTCCCGTTGGAGTCTTTGCTCACGCCGGGACTTAGATGACACAGCGCGCTCCGGAGACTGGCATCAGAGTTATTGTGGTTGGGGCTGGCTTTGCTGGACTCACCGCCGCGATAGAATGCCATCTCAAAGGACACTCTGTACTCGTTTTAGAGTCCTTCCCGGAGCTCAAGCCTTTGGGTGACGTGATCTCCTTTGGCCCGAACGCAGGGCGCATCATGGCGCGATGGGGAAATGGCTCGGTTTACGACAAACTGTACCCCATTTGCCATCGGAATAAGGAACTCATCTTCTACAAGTGGAACGGCGAGTTCATCACCTCACAGCCGGTGTATCCGATGAACAGAGAGGCTCCCTCCGTGAACGGACACCGCGGGGAGATCCACGAGATCGTATTCAACCACGCGAAAGAGCTCGGTATCGAGATCAGGCTCGGGTGTCGCGTGCTGGAGTACGTCGAGGAGAAGGACCGCGCGGGCGTCCGAGTCAACGGCGAGACCCTCTGGGCGGACGTCGTGGTCGGTTCCGACGGCGTGCGGAGCAAGGCGCGGGAGCTTGTCCTTGGCTACGTCGACAAGCCCAAGTCCTCCGGCTACGCCATCTACCGTGCGTGGCTGGACTCGACCCCGCTGCTGCACGACCCCCTCACGAAGCACCTCGTCGTGAACGGGGACACGCACACCGGGTGGCTGGGCCCCGACGTCCACTTCCTGGCTGCGTCGGTGAAGGACGGAAAGTCCTTCTCGTGGGTGTGCACTCATAAAGACGAGGGGGATATCGAGGAGTCGTGGTCTTTCCCCGGGAAGATCGAGGACGCCCTGAAGGTGCTGGACGGGTGGGACCCGGTCTGCCGGCGGATTGTGGAGCTCACGCAGGACTGTGTCGACTGGAAGCTCGTCTACCGCGACCCTCTCCCGACCTGGGTATCGAAGGAGGCGCGGACGTGCCTCGCGGGTGATGCCGCGCACCCGTTCTTGCCCACATCAATCCAGGGGGCGTCGCAGGCAATGGAAGATGGAGTCGTCCTTGCGGCGTGTTTACAGCTCGCGGGCAAGCAGAACGTCCCGCTCGCCGTCCGCGCGTACGAGAAGATCCGGTACGGGCGAGTGAGGAGGGCGCAGCTTCTCGGCGAGGAGACGAGGGACATGTGGCATAAAGCCGACTGGGACGAAGTCAAGAAGAACCCTGACATCATTAAGCTGAAGCGGGACGACTGGCTTTTCCTGTTCGACTGCGAGAAGAACACCTACGAGGTCTGGGATGAGACTGTGAAGGAGTTGACTGGCGCTCACGAAGGCGGCCATAATCTGCTACCTGCACAACCGACAGCTATGATCAGTGCGTAGGCGTACCACTTCCCTATCGTCGTACTCTGCTGTGCGGTTTATATGGTATTTCAATTTGGGTATAGATACCAATGGCATCCTTGTAGAATATGTATACATCCTCTCAATCATCAACGGTTTTCTGAACGACTCTTGACATATCAAATTGAGTTGCCCAAGTCGCAACCCTAACCTACTGCTCCCATCATTACAACGAAGTTGAGTACAATACTAACAAATACACCTAAATACTGTTCGTGCTACAATTTGGATACAGCCATGGTTAAAACCACTGATCACCCTGATGAAATATACAATTCTCTAAACTCCCGATGAAGTGTTACCTCGCTTCTTCACTGTAGCGAACGGCACAGGTGGAAGTCGGACACCCATGGCCAAAAACACCGTAGCTCCTCCTACCGCTTCCTCCCATCTGAAGGGCTCGGGTGTTTGGCAGCCTCGGGACTCTCTCCTTGGAAATCCGTACCAGGGCTCGGAGGACGGGGATGATCGTCATAATAACCCACCGCCCGTCTTATTGCCTCGCGTTCCTCCCTCGGTCTATTCTCCCAGAGCAGATGGGCGGCGCCGGCAGCTACGATATTTCGCTGAAACATATGCACCGTCTCCCAGAACTTTCGTCGCTCTTCGGGATCCTCGGGGACTAGCGAGCGCCTCGATCGCTCCTGACTTGGGCCTGAGGGTACGCTGGAATGCGGGGCGGATGCGCTAGACGTGTTTCCCTCAGGCTGGATTGGTTCAGATGGATTCGAGGGTGCAGAGCCGCTCGCATGGGTAGGGTGGGGTGCCTTGGATAACTCAGGCCTGCCTCTAGCACCACTGTCCTCGCTGCTCTCAAAATGAGTAGTGATTTCTGACCATCTGCTAGTGTCCGATGACGTGCGTCCATCGACTGCACTCGACTGGGGCTTGCGTACGTTTAAACTCTCCGCAGTACCACTTTCCCCCTTCTCAGTGCGAACTCCCGACGGTGCGGATAACACATTAGTACCGTCATTATTCTCCGCGCTATCCAGCTTAGTCCTCTTCACTGGGCGCTTCTCGTCCTGGGCTCCGGGACTGGAGGGATGAGTGGCACGGCGGGTACTTTTCTGCATATTTCTCAGATCGAGGAAAGGTACGTCCGCGTCGAAACGAACTGGGCGCTGCCGCTTCCTCGGAGAAGGGGATGGAGGGCCAGGACGGGATGATGACTCTGGAGTGGGTAACGGCGGTCCCACAGGGTTACTGACGGTATCTCGAGAACGGTCTGGAAGTCGGAATGAGGGTGGCTGCGGGACTGGAGAAGAACGGGAGGGCTGGGGCACAAGTACAAGTGGCTGCTGCACGGGTCTCGTCTGTGGGTTAGAAGGGCGAGGAGTGAGAAATGATATACTGTCCCTTGCGCCACTCCCTTTGTACTTTGTCGGAGTATTGGGTTCAACTCGATGGCGAGGAACAATGGCTTTCGTTGGAAATGGACTTGACCCAGGCGTAACAAGGGCACGATTGTCAGGTCCTTTGTCCGGCATGTCCTTTTCTGCCGTGACCTTGCTAGTGGTGAGCGTCTTCAAGGGTGACAAGGCAATTTCACTTCTGAGCGGGGAACTGTCGGTACTCTCCCTTTGTGATGAAAAGCTTCCGTTGTAAAATAGCAGGTGAGCGGTCCGCCCCCTTTCATCATCTTCATCATCGTCTGTATCCTCTTGGCTGTCTCTCTCATTCCAAGGTAGATCTTTCTGATTCCTCTTCTTTGCAGGCGTCCTTTGGCCTCCCGGACTAGACCCGAGTTTTGTTTCTTCCGGAATCGCGACGCCTGCTTTCTTCATAAGGCTCCGTACGATTCCTTCCTCTTTGCCCGTGAGGTAGTTCCTCATGACTTCCAGCTTCTTCGTTAACTTGCCGCTTTCTGCCCATTTCTCTGCCGTCTCCTGAGCGCCCTCGCCTAGGATATTCAGCATAGCCGCGTCCCCGGCGTCGTCTGAGAACTTCTCTTTCAGAAGAATGTCATCTCGGCTCGACATCTGTGCCTGAGCAGGAGTTGGGTATTCCGTATCGGAATATACGCAGTCCTTAAACATCTTCTCTATGCACAGCCAGTCGAGACCCCCGAGGGCGGGCATAAGTGTGTTAGGCACAACCCGACGAGGCTTGAAGACGTTGACGAATTGCAAGAGCTCAGGCAGTGCTGAATGTCGAGATAGCGGTACTAGCTGTGGGATGTATGCGAATACAATCCCTGTCAGCGACGTAATTACGCAATGGTGATCCAGAGTCCCTACCAGGCTGGTCATCTCATGCCCTTGCTCCAATTCTCGTCGCGTTTCTTCCAGATACCTGTGCCAGGCGCTGCTGGACATCGTTACCGGGTTGATACACACTACTTTCCTGGCATTTTCATTTGGTTCGATGCGGACGTCGGGCACGTACTTGCAGCGGTCAAACCGTTCGCAAGCATGGAACCGCGTTGACTCTGCCTTTGTAGTAATGATGTCCCGCATGAACGGGTCCGACAGGTTCTTGTATACTGAGTGTTTGTATCGGTCCACGTGGATCTTCATTCCCAAGGGAGTTAGCTTCAGATAATCGTCAAAGCCATGGGATGCCGCGGGACGTACCTGGCACTCGAATACGGCGGCTATGCCCTTCAGAATATCTTCGTAGCCCCAGGTCCAGGAGTTGATAAAGAAGAGCGTCGTAGGCAAAAATAACGCGATCAGTTCGACAAGTCCCGAGACCGCGGATTGCTAGCAGCCGGAAGGTCAACTGGGGAGGAACAGGATATGCTCTATCTGGGCACGCACTTTGTCCGGGACGATTGAGGTTGAAAAAACCGACGCGGTATCCAGATAGATAGCATCCAGTACCTTTCTTGTCACCCCTAACTTACCAGGGCCGTGTACTTGCGCTGATCGTTGAAGGGGCTGCTCCGGACCCTTTCCCTTACGCTCGGCGTACCTGTCAGGAATGTAATCAGGGAACCTCCACCCCGTGCAGAACTCGCGGGGGAAATTGGGTTCCGTATATCGTTGGATGAATGGGTTGCGCGTTAGCGACTCGATGAACCACGGTTCGGCGCGCAGGTCGCCGGTGTGTAGGAAGTTGCCTTTGTCTCCTTCGATGAGGAACCTTGATGAGATTGTATGCGTTTGGTTTTGTACGTAGTAACACGATTACGACTTACATGACTGCCCCCGGACAATGATTCGCGTCGAATAGTGTTATTCTCACACGTTCGTGGTTGGATAGGTCGAATTCGGTCGGTGTGTGCAGGGGAATCGCTTTCTGTACCATGATGGGGGTCAATTTGAAGGTTGTGGAAAGTGAGACATTTTAAATTGAGACGGAGACAAACGATTCGTTGAATATTGGTATTTGGGGCAGCGTATCCTCGCTTGATCTTAAAGAAGTTGTAGCACGCGGAGAAATGGTTTACGAAGTGAAGTAGTATAGAATTGGACAAATACAGCGCATATATGCCCTTCGCGATGGCACTAGACTAAGCCACTCACCAACAAATCTCGAGAGCCTTGGTAGTACACTTGGCCGTCTTGACTGACCACCGGATCCACCTTCAAGTGCTTGAATGTCCGTACAGACTCACTCCTAAACTCGTTGTCCCGGAGAGATCGTTCATAGTATACTTCGTGGCGTAAAAGCATTTCCTTCGCATCAGCAGAACAGACGACGATGGATGCAAACGACTTTGCTGAGAGGCCCACGATGTGGTCAGAATGTGTGTGCGACAGCAGATGGAGTGCGGGGACGGTCGATATTGATGGCGAAGACGTGAACTCGTCGACCCGGATGGAATAGGGGACCACGAAGGAATTGTAGGGAGATCCAGGGGGCATGATGAGGTCGAGGTCACGGTTACAGGATAAGGAGACACAGAGTTTTATTCAGAAAGTCCGATTGTGGCAATTCTATGTTGAGTTCTCTTGCCAGGCCACAAACCGAAGATTCAATGGTTTCTGTGTTTGCTGATGACTCCGACTGAGAAATCAAGAGAAAAAGATGTCTTGATCGTGTCGACGGGTATCAATGGTATTACAAAATTTTCCAGTCTATTCTTGAGGGGGTATACGTGCAGATTGTTCGGAATTAAAGATGGGCAACAGTGACAGCTTGAAACTCCTGTGTCAGTCGGTGGTAAGTTGCGGTTACCAGTCTTCGAGATTGATGGCCCAAGAGAAGTACAGTATTTACAGCAGAGCAAATAAATAAACTAGAACGACCAGACGGCCTTACGAACGACGAGGACGTCGACGATGTAGTTGTCGAGAGTTGTCGGCGATACTTATCGATGGCCACACACGCGTGTGACGCGTGCCAGTATAGGGTCACGCACACGTCACATGCGCGCTGTGGGCCTGTGGCTGCGACTTATACTACTACCACAACTTCAAGCCTGTAATCGCCCTCAGTCTAACAAGGATTATACGACGCTTGGTTGGCCAGCATATACACCATTATCTATTTATCTAGGCGATACTCTGCCTGATTTCCAATCCTGATGTCGACCCGGCATGACCGCTACGACAAAGACGCGGATGACGCAAGGGGGCGGCATCGCAGTCCCAGTTCTGATCGAAGGTATAAAGATGACAGACTACGGAATAGAGGGGACGACGAGAGGGATAGAAGATCGTTAGAACGAAGAAGACCGGGCAAGGACGACCGCGACGCACCTCGTTCCAGGTCGCCACGCAGGGGGCGTTCCCGTTCCAGGTCTCCTAAGCGGCGTGATTCCGTCTCTCGTTCTCCTGACCAGCGCAGGTACGTAGATTGTCATGCTTTACAATGTAAATGAATGTTGAGGACAGTGGACTGTAGCCGTCGAGGTCGCGAGAAGCGGAGACATTCACGTTCAGCATCCCGCTCAAGGTCGCGATCCCCTTCTCAGTCGTCCACGTCGTCGGATCACCATCGGAAGAAGAAAAAGAAAGACAAGCACAAAAGACGTAGCAGTCGGAGTCGTGAGCGGAGGGAGCGGAAGAAGGAGAAGAAGAAGAAAGTGCGTCTGCATTCGTCCCTGCATCTATTCTGTCCATGATCTGACTGGCTTGCATCTGCAGAAGAAGAAGGGCGGTGCTCAGAGCTTTGAGTGGGGCAAATACGGTATCATCAGTGAGACCGAGTTAGGCTTTGTCGTCAACGCGTTGTCCCCATACTCACGCTTTATTTAGTTTATATAACAAGGACCAAGAGTTTCGGACATGGTTAGTCGAAGAGCGCCTGATCAATCCAGAAACACTATCTAAGGACCAAACGAAGAAAGAGTTTGCCAAATTCGTCGAGGATTATAACACAGGTGTGCATATCCTCCTGCTTGTTCTGTGGTCCACATCTAACACGCGGCTCACCTCGCAGCCACACTTCCCCATGAGAAGTATTACAACATGGAAGTGTTCGATAGACGTATGAACGCCCTCCGTGCTGGTGAATACCTTCCCCCGACGGACGTCTACGACCCCAACGCAGACATGCAGGCGCATGCCAGTAGGCACAAAAAGAAGGACGTGGAACGCGAGAGCTACCTGAGCAAAGAGCAGCTGCAGGAGCTGCGAAGAGTGCAGAACGAGAGGGTCGAGGTGTGCTGTGGCCTTGGGTTTGATGGACGGCCGGTTACTGACCTCGTATAGATTGGCAGGATGAAGCGTTTAGGCATGGACGTCAAGCAGAATGTCGGTGTTCGTATGGAGTTCGATGCGTGAATGCCTGGAGGGCTGGCATTTTCACTGTAATATATGTTGTTGCGAATGCAGAGGATGCATTGAACGTGACTAACTGCCTTCGGAATATGCACCAGCTGCGACGGGCAAAAGGAACCACGGTAAAATTGTGGATTGAGACTGCTCACCCGCTTATCGTTAGGTGTCGCTTCTCCGCTCCGAAACCTGTCCCAATACTAACTAAGGGATATATAACGGTGGGTCCGCTGGTCGCCGCTGCCGGCTTTCGCTCCCTTTTGTTTGACATTGAAGGGCAAATGCGGATACGGTATCTCTTTGCTATCTATGCCGCTCACGTTATAAATAGCTGAAGCGTTATCATTGACTGGTCTTCCGAAGCGACAGAACTTTGTCCAACCATGTAGTGAAAAGGGTGCTCTGTACGTCTTCCCATTGTGCCCGTCTCCTTCCGACATCGACTACGCCGAGTTTCTCAAAGCTCTACAAGTGATCATCGGTTGTCAACATGATATCTGTACTAGTACAGCACTTACGTGATTTTGTGGTCACAAAGAAGATGAACTTTCGACGAGCAATTCAAAGCAAGGAGAACTTTAACGAGTATCTGCGAACCCCGGGATCGAAGGATGACCCCGACGGAGCGTGGTCATGGGTCAACGAAGGTGGGTAATTGTTAAGGCTCCCTTGTCTACCACGAATGAACGACGAACATGTCTGGCACGCTGAACTCGCAAGATCTCGTCCCAACCCCGCCCGAAAAGCGGACATGGCGGTGGTGGAATTATGGCTTCTTCTATTTCAGCTTGTCCATGGATAACTGGACGCTTGGGTCGACCATGGTCGGCATTGGTCTAAACTGGTGGCAGTCGCTCGTAGTGGTATTTACGAGCCAGCTAATAAGCTCAATTGCTATGGCCATCAACTCTCGGAGCGGGGAAGTGTACCATCTCGGATATCCGGTAATAGCCCGTTCAGTCTTCGGCATGTACGGAGCATACTACGTCGTTGCAGCTGGGGCGATTATGGCTGTAGTGTATTACGCCATCAAATGTAAGAGGCGAAATCTTGCGTTGTTCTCATAGCAACTAAAGCTTCTCGCTCAGTGTATGTTGGGTCGAGCTTCGTCGTCAATATGCTCACGGCAGTCTTTGGCTCGCATTTCGCCGATATACCCAATCACATCCCGATTTCCGTGGGCTTCACTACCCAGCAGATGATTGCTTTCCTCATTTATTGGTTCTGCCATCTCCCCTTCACCCTCCTTCGTCCGTACCAACTCAGATGGCTCTTCACTCTGAAAATGTGTACCATTGTCCCCGCCTGCGTCGGTCTGTTCATATTCTGCATGGTAAATACCCATGGAGATTTAGGTCCTGGTCTTCCTCAATCTTCAGCAGCACCGGCGAGTCAGTGGGGTTGGTTCTGGATGTATGCGATAAATTCCGGACTAGGCAATACCGCCAATTTGATCACCAATCAGCCAGATTTCTCTCGATGGTCCCGCCATCACTGGGCGTCCATTTGGCCACAGATGATCGCCAACCCGATATCAGTTACAATATCGGCATCATTCGGTATCCTATCGACCTCCGCGATTAACAACGCCTGGGGCTTGGAATTGTGGAACCAGTGGGATCTCCTGGATGCCATCATGAAACGGTATCCTACGTCCGGTGTTAGGTTCGCCGTCTTCGTCTGCGCCGCTTTCTGGGCACTTTTGATCCTTGGGACAAACATCGCTGCAAACATGATACCCTTCGGGAGCGACAGCTCCATGTTACTCCCTCGGTACATCAATATCACTCGCGGACAATTTCTCGGCCTCGTACTTGCATGGGCCGTCTGTCCCTGGAAGATAATGTATTCGGCCACCACGTTCACGAATTTCCTCGGCGGTTACGGTTTATTCATGGCGTCGGTAGTGGGTGTCCTCTGCGCAGATTATTATATCATCTCCCAAGGAAACATATCGGTGAAGGACCTTTACGATGGTTCGCGAACGAACCGCCTGTATCACTACACCCGAGGATGGTCGATTCAAGCATATATCGCATACATCGCAGGCGTTGCTTTACCATTTGCCGGCTTCCTTGGTACGCTAGGCGTCAAGGTATCCACGACCGCTGTCGACATAGGCCACATTGGCTGGCTTCTGTCGTACTTTGTCTCGGCAGTCATTTATATTTTCGTCTGCTGGGTGTGGCCTACTCCTATGCAGAGACATGTCAAGGAGGAGGGCCTGGGCTGGGAATCTTTGAGCGCGCAAGAGGACTACGTCGCCACTAGTTCAGATGGTGACTCGAAAACGAAGGACCCATAAGGCGGGAAACCAGGGGAAGTAAACAGGGCGATACTTCAGCGCTGAAATCAAGACTGGGTGTTCCAGCGAATCGAGACGGGGATATGCAGCTTTACGATTATACATCTTGGTACAACTACCCTTGCAAGCTTATGGAGTTCAAGTTATGGTATCACGATTGGATCACACAACTTTTCACAGGGACGGTAACAGGACACAAGTTCATGACATAACAACGCTCAGAACACAAGACCTCAGCTCGAGGTGAAGTCTCCCAAGTTGGCACTGAGTAAAGTAATCAGCGTCGATCGCGAAAGGCTCCACCAGCATACCTTGCTGCTGTCATCCCTGACACTGTCGCTCGGTAGAGCCCGAACTTCAGCCTGCAATATATGAGGCCAAACTGAAAGTGCACATTGGGCAACTCACGATGTCGACTGCGAGCCCATCTTCCCCGAGGCGGTATAGCTGAGAATATTGGCCCCAGTGTCTGCATCCGTGACGATATATCTGAGTTTGCCAGTCGGACCAAAAGTCACCGTCATCGCATGCAGAGTCGTACGATCCGTGAACTGGCTTATTGCCACGGACGGACAGCGCGTGACGGAACAATTGCGAAAGTTATCCTCCACCGCGAATTGGCCCTTCACCGCGTCTAGGGTCACGATGGCGGCATTATCCCCGCGCGAGAACACCTGCATGAGGTGGAAGAAGCGGGTAGTCGTCCCTGTCTGCGACGACAGGTAGTATCGCCATTTGTATGTGTGCGACGTGCCATCAGCAGAGCCCTTGGTTAGGAATTCGATACGTTGACGCGGGGAGTCCGGAAATCCGGAGTCAAGCTGTTGAGTGGCATTTGAAGTTAAGGACAGGGAGTAGCAATTGGTGATGTGCGCGCCAGGCGTGGAGGAGCATCCTTGTTTCAGGACACCTACCGGCCGTTCCACCGCTATGAGCACCCTCGAGGCTGGTGAGTGCATGAAGGATCGTACCCGATGCCTGCCACTGCAGACCGTTTGAAGTCGACCCGTACGACATTTTCATACCGTTGGCAAGGACCGCATCCCGTGGTTCGAGTGTGGTTCTATTGACCACACTCCCCAAGCCGAGCGGGACGATAAGTGCAAGAAGAGTTGAGGCTACAAGCATAATAAGATTTTTGAGAGGAGACAACAGGGGTCGGTTAGATTTCGAACGAGACTGCACACGAAGCCGTGCAGAGTTATAGGTAAAGGCATGGATACGAATGTATGACATGGAGAATTCAATTCCAGGGGTCTGTGGACGAGCGGAAAGTACATCACCGTGCTCCGCGGTGAAGCGGAAGCACAGTCTGGCGGCAGCTGCGGCTCCGGCGAACAGATTTGCTTCCGCTGAATGATCGAGTCTGTGTGGATTGCGGAAGGTCATCATTTGTCAAGTAAATGCGGAGTATGCATCGTCCTCAGGCTTATCGTGCAGCGCAAGTGACGGATTGTCCTATCCGCATTATCTACCACGCCAGAGCACCGTAGCGTAACCCGAGAGATTGCTTCCGCAGGCGCGACTGGATGTCTGGAGAAGAACAGCCATGAGGATCGGAGCACAAGTGATCGCTACAATCATGCAGATACAAGACGGGAACTATCTCGCGTGATGGGGGGGTCTCCAGTTGAAAGGTTGCATATCGCAAACAAAATGCCGTACTGGATGTCTGTGCAAAAAGGTCGATAGCTGCGTATCAGTCAAGTACTATGCAAATAACACGGATTTGGTGTTCCCATGATCCCGCCTGAGAGCCATCCTAAGCTCCCAGGCGGCGATTCGGTCTTCACCTTTTCAACCGAGACCCAGATGGAATAGGCCTCGTAAGGCCAGCTAGCTTGGAGCGCCCCATGGCAATGGTAAGGCTAGAAAACGGCGTCCAGTTGAAATAGACTTCAGAACCGTTCCGAGTTTCGCACTGAAATTCTCGGCCGTCGGGTTAATCCTGTTAATGACGCCGTGCTCCTATGTCACTCCTATCAGTCCTATCTGCAGTCAATGGAAAGAATACGTAGCCTGCTGGGAATCAAGGAGCCTAATTCAATTATAGCCCGGTTTTTTCCCAGAGCTCCATGGGTAGAAATTGCCGATGGTAGAAGAAGAGGAGGATGAGCTATACATGTATAATGGCTCGCGAGAGGAAGGGGAGGGCGAGAACGCTGAACGCGGACTCGGAAGAACAGCGGGACGTCGTGCCGAGCATCGCTTCCGAGATGCGATCTTCGTGGCAGTGCCGACGCCTTGTACCACACTCGGAATGAACGCGGAGGCAGATAGAGGGGAGATCTATGCATAGGGTGGAGGCAGGTTGGAGAAGCAGAGTAACGCAGCCAAATGAATTATGCATTGATAGTAGGAGGAACTCTCTCACGCGAGAATATGCTTTGTTTTCCCCCCTTCTTAAGTGTAACTCATACTCGGCCTCCAGGGACGGTTCTCAGCGGAAGAAAAACGGGGTTCTGTACACAGGCGCACGGTTGTCCCCTATCTTTTGGGACCAAGATCGCAGTTACCTCCAACTGGTACTAAAATTCCAAACTGACGCCGGAGCCCTGCGTCTTTGACGATCGACCGCTCACGAACAGGCTCCCGTGCACGGCGTGCTAAATATACACAGTGCGGCCCTCTGCCATGGCGGGCGTCTACTGGTATTGGTGATGGAGGAGCCCAGGGGAAGCCAACAAGTACACGCCCAGGGAAATGAGCGCATATACGCCTTGCGAAGATAAGCGCACACTACCGTTGAATCTTGGAGAGGGCCGAATGACGCAAGAGAAGATGGAGTAGGCACTTCTCATGGGCGCAGACAGTGACAGAGACCGAATACAGCGACAGGGGATAGGATTTCTGAAGTCGTCGCCACCGCCATTTTCTGTTTATTCTGGAGAGTTTTGGGGTCACCAGCACTGGACCTAGAGACGAACAGAGAAAAGATTGAAGGTGGGTAGAGATGCCCCCGTAGTCAGGTATAGCCAGACGAAGCGCTCGAGAGATGGTAATTAACCCATCGACGCGTGTGAGACCCTATCTGCCATCCTGCAGAACAGCGCGATACAGAGTTTGGGCCAACCTAACGGGTGGATCGTGAGGGGCCATTTCCGCAGTGCCCGAGCACCTTTGGATGTACGTGAGGGTTTCACGTACCCTCCGGACGGTGATAGCTGTAGCCTAGGCAAGGCCGAAATCTCCATGTGCCATGTTGAAAACCGGAAGCGAGGATTGACGACGCCAGCACGGAGTATACGCCGCGCTCGAGCGTCCGCTTTCCTGCGGTATGTCATCGATCCGGCGCTAAAGCTGACCGGAGCGCTCGTACAGGGCCAGATTCATTGCGGGACCGAGGGGCAGAATCGGCAGAATCAGGATTGCTCTCCAAGCCACCACGGTACTTTATCTCGATGGATATTTGACTCGCAGCCGATTCAGCAAATTATAGGCGTTTCTTTTCAATGGTCAGCTCTAAGAATCGCTCGTTGGACGCCTCTACGCTGCGGGAATGGCAATGAGTCGTGTAGCTGACAAGCTTCCACATACCGGTAAACCTGCACTACGTCGTTGCACTCGTGAAACCGTGTATATAGCAAATTATGCGGGAATACGCACTAGTTGCACAGATGCTATTACCATGCAGCCTCATTAACGCAGAAAGCGCAGAGGATGCGAGGTGCCCTTAGGGTAAATTTGTTCTCTCAGACGCCTCTAGCCTCCTAACCACTTTGCGAGGCGGGTTGGAAATGTGAACCAGTACTATGATAGCCGGCGAGGCCAGCGATGAATCCTGAATTTACTCAAAAAGTAGCGGTCAAAAAAATACGATGATCAGTGAGCGTTTTATCGCGTAGCACTCTTGCGTATATTCCTCCATCTTCCCGCAAAAACCGTGGCGAAACTTCATTGAATGTTGCTTTCGCGTATATGGGCAAGACCGAAATCGACGGAAGTCCCAAGTCGAGCCCGAGAGACGCCAATACGCATCGATATCAAGGCGCCCATGTCACAATCAAATGCGTGTGAATAGTGACGTGAAGCCTTCCATGCCGCTGGCTGCCAGTGCAGCCAAAGGCAGTCAGCATAGAACGCAATGGCAGATATTCTAGTACTGGGAGCGACAGGTGCGAACAACACAATAGACCGTCTCGAATGACTGCTTATGCTTTGTTTTTCAGGTTACACCGGCCAGCTCACGACGCGCTACCTTTCGACGCATCCGCAGCGGGCGGAATTCACGTTTGCTGTCGGCGCTCGGTCTCGGGAGAAGCTCGAGAAGCTCGCTAAGGATTTGAACTTGGGCGACGACGTCGAGCTTGTGCAGGTGGACGTGACGAATGCCGACGACGTCGAGAGGGCGGTCGCGAACGCGAAGGTTGTGGTGAACACCGTCGGACCGTACTGGCGATGGGGCACGAACGTTGTGAAGTGAGTGGGCAGCCCCTCCTTCGCTTACATACTTCCTGAATTGCATCCGCCACAAGAGCCTGCGCGAAACTGGGGAAGGGGTACCTCGACCTGAGCGGCGAGGGTCACTGGGTCGCGCGCATGATCTGGCAGTAAGCACCACGTTCTGCTGCGCATCCGACCACTTAGCCCTCCCAGCTACGACTACCTCGCAACCAAGACCGGCGCCGTGATTGTCCCCGCATGCGGGCTCGACTCTGTGCCCTCGGACATAGCGGCTTTCCTCGCAAACAAGACGCTTAAAGCGCTGGCGGGGCTAGAGAGCACGATCGAGCGGACGGATACGGCGGTGGAAGTCAAGGGCACGGTCTCGGGCGGCACGCTTAACACCATCATGACCGTTCTCGAGGAGGTCCCCAAACACGAGCTTGCTCATGGAACACGAGCTTATGCTCTCAGTCCAGGTACGCCGGCAGATATACTGTCCAATTAGCCCTAACTCAACCTAACCCAAGGCTTAACCGGTCGCCCCAACCCCCCTCTGCGTCTCCTCTACACCCTTCCCGCCTCCTCTCCCCGGGTATATGGCTCCTTCTTCGTCATGGCTCCCACCAACCGACAGATCGTCCAGCGCACCTGGGGCCTGCACCAGCTCGCCGCGCTCCGGGGAGGACCTAAAGAGAAAGCGCTCGCGTACGGGCCGGACTTCACGTACGACGAGTTCCTGGCAACACCGAGTGCCTTGGGTGCGGTGCTGATGTCCGCGGCCTTTGCGGTGTTTGGCCTCGCGCTGCTGCTGCCGCCTGTGAGCGCTCCTGCCATAATCCAACTCCGCCGGATTGGAGTAGACTGAGACTGATATGTCTATTTTCATAGGTTAGATGGATTTTGAAGAAGATCAGGCCGCCCGGCACGGGCGGGAGCTACGAGTGCGCGAGTTTACTTGTTCTTAGTTGAGGGTGGCTGTCTGAAATATGTACAGATCTCTTGAGAACGGTCACATGACGTATACTTCTATTACCACGTCCAGCCCCGACTCTGCGGGCAAGCAGACGTATGTACGAACCAGCCAACGCGGGCGAGGCGATCCCGGGTACCTCCTCACCAGCAGTCAGTATTATCCACTTTCCTTTGTATCCCACCTCTATATTGCTACTACCACGAATTCCTGATTCATTGCCTCTTCTATATAGTGATGATCGCAGAGGGCGCCCTGGCACTAGTCCTCGACAAGAAAGACCTCCCCGCGTTAGCGCAGCAGGGCGGGATCCTGACCCCCATGAGCGCGCTCGGAGACGTCTTGATCAGGAGGCTGGAGGGCACCGGGAGGTTTGAGTTTGAGAGCGAGGTGGTGCTGGCACCAAATGAGGAGAGCCGTAAGACGCGATAACGCGTGGCCTGGCTTAAGGTGGGCCTTGCGATGTAAACGTTTTTCGTAGATGACACAATGCTTGTTGGATAGGTTTGTGGCTGTTTCGCATGTATACGCACCCCTTGGACACTTGCATAATTTATAGGATCGTGAATACATGTGCTACTCATCAGATTACTTATGACACGTAGCATGATCCGCATTCGGTGGATGCTGCGATCGAAATAATGGAAATACCTATTTCTGAGATACCTCCTGTAGAGGTGAGTACATCGCGTGGCTCGGAAAGAGACGCACGTTCTGGTTAATGTCGTATGGTCGCTGACCATGCTTAGCTTCCCATTTCACGGCCGCCTTAAACAGCTTTGACTCCGGCGGCTTGCACTCGGCATTATCTCCGTACCAGGTACCAACCCAACCCAACGCGTTCTTCGGTTCGGCGATATGGGACTCAGGGATCGTGTTACGTGCACTCACCGAGCTCTCGGCTCGATACTCTGGACACCAATGCCCCGGCATATACCCGCTGCGGGCGCTCGAGCGGTTGTCCAAGGACATAGCGCCGAACCTGCGCTCCGAGACGGAGAGGCCCACCCGGCAGGCACACCCCCCGAGCAACGGCCGGAGCGCCAGTGTATCTCGATACATGCGCACCCATGCTGACAGTAAATCGGTTCGCTGGCTGGCGATTGCTACGCCGATGGAGGCCAGCACTCCCGGTTCCGGGATGGCATGGTAGAGGCTTTTGGGTTGTCGTCCCGACGATACTCGGTCGAAGGTCTGGATCTTCTGAGCAGCCAAAACGTGCTCTGGAAGACCGCTCACCGGTACATTATACAAAGTGCGCCGTAGAACACCTCTGTCCCGGAGCTGACGCTGGACTCACCAGTTGTCCGGTGTTCGGTACATGACTACGGCAAGAGGTGATCTAACGATCTCAGGCGACGTTGGTGGATGCCCTTGTGTGTTGTATCTCGATGTTTATTGACTGCAATAGCCCGATATCATAGGGGGATCCTAGTGACTCGAACAGATTCTGTCATTCGATGAATGTTCCCCCGCCTCGTGGTGCGCTCTGCAATCCCTATGCGGATTGTGAGTTCAGCCAAAGTTAAGCAGTCGGTTCTTTCTTCAGTGGTGTGCCTTTGTCTTCTGTTTCTTTTTTGAATATTGATTCTCCTCGGGGACGGGGGAGTGGGTGGGCCGATATCTGTGAGATTGTGGTGTGCTGGACTGATTGCCACAGCAGGGTACTGAGAATAGATCATGACTTTTGGTCGACTCATTCCCTGCACGTAAGTACTAGCCTTGCATCTCGCCATGCGTGAGACTACTATCTCTGCGCTCTGTCTGGTATCCCCACGGCCCTTGGTATCATGATGAACAAATTCTGTGCATGGCGCCATTCTTGGAGGCTTCTGCTTTCGTGATGTAGGTGCCAATGGAGATGATGATATCTTTCCCCAGACTGGCGTAACAGCTTTGCCCCAGCCCCTGTAGTGCGGCGAGCACTTATCATCTCGCAGCGTATCTCAAAAAAGGTCCTATACCATCTCTTATTGTGTAAGAGCGGGGGATTCTTCCGATGTGACGGCGTCTTGAGCGCTAGCAGTCTAAAGGGCTCCCGAGCTTTGGCCAGCCAGTGAGCGCTGGCTGTGGGCAGCGAATTAAGAGGATGATATGTTTAACCACCTATTCATTGGTCAAAGATGATGATTGGTCATTCATTTGCTCTCAGCAACGTAGCCTATGTAAACTCAGTATACGTTCCGCGTCAACCCGGAATCGAATACTATTGGCAAGTGAGCCGACGGGCCACTGGTACAAAGCTTGGGATACCAAATATTTTACGAATTGACATAGCTTAAGCTGTATTCCTTGTACTCAGTGATAAGGTAAACCGTACACATGTATACCCAACTCCGAGGTTCTCAACCTGAGAACGGTTCTGGTGTTCTGGTCGAGGCTGAGCATAAGTTATTTTGAGCAAGTCCGGGGTTCACCAATCCCCTGTTTCCCCAGCCACTTCCACTGACTAGTATTACTTGAGTAATATCGAGCCGAAGGTATCTGCATTTCTCCTGCTAACCAAAAGCATAGCCAATAGGGGACGGACTGAAAATGCCCCCGCGTTCATCCAGGTGCGGTACAAGACGTCGGCACCGCCACGCAGATCGCATCTGACAGAAGCGATGCCCGGCACGTGTCCAGGGACGAAGCCCCGCTCTACCTTCTGTGGCTGACTGTTCCCATCCAGCGCGGGCATCGCATTGTATAGTTTATCCTGCTCTTCATCCTCCAACGGTTAGTTCTGCCACAGAGCCTTGGGCATCTTTTCTCAAGCGTTCAACATCGAGGAAGTGATGCAGTCTCGGTACTTTTTAATGAGTACATAGGCTGTGCGTTCTTTCATTATCGGCAGATAGGAGTAAGAGGAGCGCGGAGTCAGTAACGGGAGCCCCCCGATATCCGAGATGTAATTATGACCTCGGAGATGTCCTCGACGGATCTGAAGTCTATTCTCCCGGGGAGGTCTTTGTAAACCAACAACACAGGTTTACCGTTCCCATGTGGTGCTCCCAGCGTAGCATTGCGCAATTCGAAGGGTCCGACGTTGGATCATTCCACACAGGATCCTTGGCGAGGACAATAGGACGGCTAATCCGAGGACAAGAAACGCACCGTGCCGAATCGCGCCCAGCGCCATCTGCTTGTGGTGCCGCTGAGTGCTCGCTGTAACCAAGATAGCGGCTCCATTCGCCAGGTGCGGCGGCACTCACCGCTTCCCACCACCCAACAGACGTCCAGGTGCCTGTCAGATTACGGTGCGCACCGCCATCTTGTCACCGGGGTGTTCCCATCACCCAGACTGCCTTTGTTCCTGTATCTGCATCATTATTGTACGAGCTGTCCATCATCCCAGGCAGTCAATCAAGCTCACCGACATAGCACGTCCCCGCGGCCCCCCTAATGCGATGGTTGGCTGATGGTGAGTGCGTCCGCAGCAGTGCGTTGTTCGATGGGATGAACAATGCGAATGATGCATCTACAGGCACCGGCAATCCCTATGCTCACAGGCATAGCCGCGACGCTCACCCCCCGGTAGCGCGGCTATGGGGCCTGTCATTCAGTCCAATTGTACTGGAGATGGACCACAGCATCGCCAATCGCCCTGCTGACCGCTGATTCTGATCCTCAGCCTGACGCCTCGGAGCCTTGGATTTTCCTCGAGCCTGTTCATTGGCGAGTGACCAGGGACCGTGTAAAGGCCGGTCAATCATGGTCGCAGAATTTGACCATCAGGTCGGGGATCCTGATCTTGGGTTTCTCTGGTCGGTGTCTTCGATGTTCCCGGCCCCGCGGTAGCGGGAAAATACCCTCCCAAGCTTCAAGCCTGTGGAATGCCGGTGAATCACATACGATAGCGTGGTTCGGCATCATTCAAGGTTGGGGTCGAGAAAGAAGTAAACGCTCCCGAAGGGTTCGTGTAAACGCCGGGTCTCGGTCGATATGATGAACTCATACCTTGCATCGTCTGTGCGTGATGGGCATCACCCGTTTGCTAGCCTCGTGGCAGCCGAATAGACTGTTCTCGAGGACGTACTGCCATTGTTCAGCTGTGCACTCGAGATCGCCGACTCCAACTTTCTCTCGATTATCAGGCCTCGACTTCTTCCATGGACTGGGATACTTGCTTTTGTCTTACCATCCCCGTCCGTCCTGTTCCCCGGGCGTTGCTCTTCGACAATGGCTGTTCATCGATGAAACCACATCGCCTGATCCCACATTCTAGATTCCAGTTAGTGTATTGTCGTCCAGGTGAACTCCGAATACCTGTCAAGTACGAGTGCCCCTGTAATTGAGAGTATCATATTTCAAAATGGCCCAGTCAGAATTCTCTGGAGGCGCCTTAGTAGCGTATACGCGGGATTCCATTCCTGTGCGTACACAGCGCAGATGATTCGGGCTCGGGTTGAAGCTAGAGTTGTGATGTTTCTTGGTTATTCGGTTCCACACGCGATGGTTATCGATGCGGGCCAATGCATTTGCGCAGCTTCTGCCGTGTATTCAGAGGACCGACTGAGTGCGCTTTCCCTTCGCAGTGCTAGCACATTCATGTTAGCTGGTCACAGGCACAGGACGGCTCGCCACATCGATCATCGCCATGGAGCATATACAGTACGCGTACGAGGCTGACGTCGGTGACTAGTACTTGATGACACTCCCTCCGGATAGCATGTCAGACTGCCTACTGACTTACACTTTGCGGTGCGCGCTCGTCAGCGTCGGCGCAACCTGTGCGCGCACCCAGTGTGCCACCGCGTTATGGACGGCATGATGGGCGATCTACGGCATAGCCTAAGTAAATGCGTCTGCAGTGATCCGGGGTGTCAGGTACATTTCCGGACGAGATCTTCGTCTGCAGCGCAGCGCAGAGCGAGCGAAGAAGGCGGGTTAATTGCATACATACTGTTACTTCGAGGATGGCTGCGAGGCGAGCCCGCAGGAAGAGCAGGGTCGGTTCACGGCATGTTCTGTCAGATACGATTCACCTTCGCGCGAGCGCTGGGACTTCCATTATTCCGCTAGTCTGTGGTCGATAAGAGCGCTTGCCATCATCGCAGCTTCGGATTGGGACTGGCTGCCTGATACGGGGCGCCTGCGAGCGTCTCAGGCTTGTCGCACTATAACGGTCCAGTCGTGCTGTCTGATACCTGGTGGCACTAAACCCTGGGTCAGGATAGCTCGAGCCCGGATCATGGTCGCTTACCCAGCGCAAGTCCATTCCAAGCAGGCCTTGTTCTTGCGTATTCGGCTCGCGCCTGTGCCAGTGGCGCAGAACTGGCTGGGTGCGGCAGGCGTCTACCAGGAGACACGATCTGTCAGCGCAATTGGCGCGAACGGGGGGAAATACGTGGGCGCCATGTGGCATCGCGGACGCTGGGCGAACCAGTCCGACGGCCCCGGAAGCAGTACTCTGCCGTAAGAGTAGCGAGAAAGGATAGAGAGATCCGGAGTCCGACATTCGGTTCCAGTGCTGGCCTCCTTTCATCCCTCTACGAAAGTAGAATACCGGCCACAGCCTTTGCGAGTCAATGGGGATTCCATGTCGTGGACATGTCGAGACAACGTCTCCGTTGCAGCGTCTAGCTACTTTTGTTATCATTGAATTCCCGTGAGTGCCTGTGATCGTCGACGCCGGCAGAGCCTGTGTTTCCGGAATTTCGACAAGCCAGAGTGCGGTATATGCACCGGACGCGTATAAAGAGGGAGGGGGGCGGCGGGGGCAGCCAGAGCCAGCGTGCTTACCACAGCTCCCAACATGGGCAACTCTCACTCAACCACCGCCGGACACCCCGCCATCTCGCGCAAACGCTCCTTTGCCCACAACCTCGCCCTCGGCTGCGCGTCGCCGTCGTCCGCGAACAGCTCTATCATATCCGACAACCACACTTTCGTCAGCGAGAAACATCTGCTCAGCGAAAAATCCAGCTTCGACCACCTCCCGCTCTATGCGCAGCCGCCGCCCGACTTTACCCAGGACGAGACCGCGAGCGCATACAGGGCGTTTCTGAAATCGTACCCCGAGTTCCAGTCGACATGGATCATTGACTCGCTACGGCGCAGCGATTTCTCCAGGCTCGACCGCGGCGGAGAGACATATGTCGACTACATGGGCGGCTCGCTTTACCCCGAGAGCCTAATTCGCGTCCATTCCGCCTTCCTCAACTCTACCGTCCTCGGAAACACGCATTCAGTCAGCCCCAGGTACGATACCGGCCTTCATGGGCAGTGGCGCAACTTACTAACATGCTCTACTAGTTCCCGGGTTTCGTCCACCTGCGCTAGCGAGGCGCGGGCGGCCGTCCTTTCGTTCTTCCGGGCCCCGCCAGGCTACACCGTTATCTTCACCGCCAACGCCACAGGGGCTCTCAAGCTCGTCGGCGAATCGTATCCATTCACCGAGAACAGCAGCTACGTCCTAGGTGCCGACTCACACAACAGCGTGCACGGCATACGCCAGTTCGCCATTCAGAAGGGCGCGCAAGTACACTACATCGAGTCGACGCAGCACGGCGGATTCCACGTCGCGACAGCAAAGGTAATGCCAATCACCCGCCCGGCGTGTTCTCGTTCTGATGCTCACGCGTCTCACTTTGCGAAGGCTACCCTCGCGCGTCATAAACCGCGAAGGCGGGACAGCGCGCCTTCCTTATTCGCCATGACCGGCCAATCGAATATCTCAAACTCTAAAAACCCGCTGACGCTCCTAAAGTTTGCGTCGTCGCTCGGGTACCACACGCTGCTCGATGCGGCCGCGTTAGCGCCTACTTCTGTTATCTCCCTAGAGGAGACGCCGGTCGATGCCATGGCCGTGAGCTTCTACAAGATGTTCGGCTACCCCACCGGCGTGGGGGCTCTCGTCGTGAAGCAGTCCTTCCTCGCAAAACTCAAGAGACCGTGGTTTGCCGGAGGCACCGTCGACGTCGTCCAGGTGCCCGGGAATCTCGTCACGATGGCGCACGACCTCCAAGAGCAGTTCGAGGTAAGTTTAGCCGTCACCCCTATCTCCTGCCCCTTGTTGAGCCCATCACCCCTCAGGACGGAACCATCAACTATCTCACCCTGCCAGCAATCACTGACGGGCTGCGCTTCCTCTCCGCGTATCTCCCCTTCCTCCCACTGCGGCTCTCGTGCCTCGTCGACCACCTCACCACGTCGCTGTCCCAGCTGCGCCACGAGCGCGCGGGCACGCCCGTCGTGCGCATCCTCTCCCGGCTTCCAGGCCGGCGACTAAGATCCGTCGGCGAACAATCAGACACCGGATCTGTCGTGGCGCTGATCTTCCTCTCCGTGAGTCGCCGCCGGCTATCTATCCATCGCCCTTAGTCATACATACTGATAAAATGCCACACCAACAGCCGTCGGGCGCGATGCTCCCGAACTCGTTCGTCGAGCACGCCGCGTCGCAGCAGCACATCTCGCTGCGCACGGGGTGCATGTGCAACCCCGGCGGGGCGGCGGCCATCCTGGGCATCCAGGAGGACATGGCTCGGCTGTACCCGGGCGTGACGCTGAAGGACTTCGAGGAGGTCGTCGGGCGCGAGCTCGGTGTCGTGCGCGTCAGCCTTGGGCTCGCGAGCACGTTCCAGGACGTGTGGCGCGTGATCCAGTTCGCGGCGGCGATGGCGTGCGAGGGGACGCGCCAGGCCATGTGGGAGGACTGGATGAGCACTAAAACAGGTCAGGCTATTTAATTTGTTAATATGAGAAGGAGTTCGGGGGGACGTGTTGTATCATTATCACTCATCATATCGAATACCTGTACGAATATCTCGAACATTGTATTGTTGGAAACCATCCTTTCTCGGCTTTTTTCTTTTTATTCCTCTCCCTCGATTTTCTCTCACCTAGTCTTTCCCTCGCGTTATCCCATCGCTCGTTTTGTACAATGTATAACATCGTAGAAATTCCATTCGCATTCGGATTCCAAGTTCGAAGAGTCTTAGTTGTCCTAATCATAAGGTCGAAACTCACTCTTCGTCTTCCTCTTCGTCATCGCCTTCGTCTTCCGATACTTCGAGGCCAGCCTCCCGAAGACGCTGCTTGTCTCTGCGACGCTTGCTACTCAAGTCATCCAGAAGCACGAGGAGGTCTTCCTGCTCTTTCTCTACGTCCTGGCGTTTCTCATTCGAAGACTGCAGCTCTGACGTCAACTGAGAAACCTGCGTTTGCAAGGCAGTTGTCTGCGGAAATGTAAGTTCTACATGCGAGTACCGAGAGGAGCGCGGGTGCATGCTTACTTCTTGCTCCTTCTCTGCCAACGCCGTCTTCAGTTTGTTCTGCAACGTTTCGATTTCTTGCGCCTGCTTTCGAATCACCTCTCGCAAGGAAGCAACCACGGCTTCTGCCTCAGGACTCTGCCCTGGAATACAGTTGGACGCGGGTCATCGCGGCCGCTTCGAACTACTCACCTGCGGAAGACGATAACGAGTTGGGATCTGTGCGGATCCCTCGCTGGATCGTATCTTTTTGGGATGCAAGGGGTGAGAAAGGCGTTTCGGGCGCTAACGTGTGAGCGCTTACAATAATTCGACTTCAGGAAGTCGACGAAAGGCCAATCGAACCATATCTCAGCTTCGTCAGCTGTTTCCGGTTTGAGCCCCGGCTGCGAATGAGCAGGTGTCGGATAGGGCAGGACTGTCGATTCGGGGGACACCGCTTTCAATCGCTCGTCTTCCCGTAGACGCGTGATCCGGCCCATCAGCGCGTCAACCCCGAGTCGATTCAGAATTGGGTGGATGGTGGCTCTGGCGGCAGTCAACAGATATCAGAACTTCGCCGCAGACGCGTGACGTCGCACATACCTTGTCACTTCCCCAGGCTCCCTATTGAATTCGTAGCAGATTCCCAATAGAAGCGCGCATAGACCCGGAACGAGGACGTCTGTTTCTGAAGTCTGATTCACGGGTTCTACCAACTACCGATCGCAATTCGAGTCAGGATAGTCCCGAGAGTCAGAGAAGCGGGTTAAGCGAGACGCACAATTCCCAAACCGCCGGCATCTAAAAATTCCCGAACTGCCTTGGGGTCTTCCCAAAGCCATTGAGATAGAAGACAGAGGTAGACGGTGACAAGTCGATCCCATTCGCGGGCCTCTCGGTCAGAACTCGAAGCCCGAGAACGCGATAGCAAGGCCAAAGAAAGGTGTTCGTTCAGAAGCTGGATTAGCGTTTGCGGGGAATCGTCGTCTTCTTCAGTTGGCTGCGGTTCTTGCTGAGCTTGCGAAGGAGGGCCGCCGTCAGCAGGCACAAAGAAACTGCCGCCGTCGATACCTCCCGCAGAGGGGGGCTTGATCGATCGTGCCAACGCTTTGGCGCGTGAAGAGTTCCGGATCAAGTGAGCGAATAAAATCGCAGCTAGTTGGGTGGAGATAACCGAGGCGGGGACGAGGGGCGAAGTGGGGGGCGTGGCGAGGAACTGAAGAAGGGGGGTGACGGGGGGCGGGGTGGTTGAATCTGCTCGGTTCAATCGTTCCATACGTCAGCGGGCCCGCTCCCGTCGTACAGTATGGACAGAATCCACACCTTCAGGAGGCACCATGGCCTGCAAAATGAGTAGGCGGACGTCATCTTGGCCCACGAAGCTCTATACGATTGAGACATCAATGCGTCGACTCGGAGAGGGCCAACATCTGCACGTACTTCGAATACGCTGGCGGCCGTTGCTCGAAGTTCCAAGCCTTCCTTATCTCGTCTAGCACTGTATAGTCCGCTGTATTCGCCGCTCAGGACCAGTTCTACAAGCGCATCGAGGGCGGAGGCAGGTTCTAGCCGATCCCATTCTTCTCCATTGGTTTCTGGAACAGGCATGTATGTAGTAACTAGTATGTCTGTCAGGGGGAGGGATTGATTGATGGGAAGAAGTCGTAGAGACTATAGGCGCGTGATATGTAAACCAAAACAAGCTACTGACGTGGAACGTACCTGTGTTTTCAAGGCTGTCGGTGCATTGGATGCCAGCGCCATTTCCAACAAGCATCGCGTAAAGGGTGACAAGCCATTCACCTGGAGACGTCATATGAGTATTACACCTACCGATCAGCTGAACGTTACACTGACACTGCTACCTTCATTGGCAGCAAGCATACCCAGGATCCCTACTACTATACCAGCATTCTGGCCTTTTTGGGCGTCCCAGAACTGTAAGGCAAACTGCTGTGGGGCAGCTTCGTGGATGGGTAAGTTCGGAGGGAATTGCAGGAGAGACAAGAGCACCATGGCCATGGGCGTCTCTCGAAAATAGCTCTGTAACGCAACGTTAACAAATAGTTATGCAGACCACGGAGCGTCGTGCCTGGTTAGAGGTATTGAAACGCAAGAGCCCATCAACGCAAAGCAAGGCATCCTGGACAACGATACCACCTTCAACACCGCCCTCCTGGGTTATAATGTTGAACAACCTCTCAAAAGCGCCCTCGAACGCGAGGACTTTCTGGATTTCAGGACTTTGCGAAATGAGAGACTGCAACATAATAATTGCCTCTACAGCGCGTAAATACTCGAGTTCTCCAATCTAAGCACTCTGAGCACAGACCATTACGAATGATCTCCCTTCTGTCCTCAAGAACGGCCATGATACCCGCTGGGCCGGCTGGAGCCGTCAGGAAGTAACTCTGGACGAGCTGTCGCCTATTGCGGAGGAGAGTCGACAGAAACTGTAGAGCACCGTAACGCGTATAGAACGTCTGATCAGCAGCCAGCAATGCAAGCAGCTTGTGGGCGGCCTTGTCATCGGCCAGGACACGATCCGAATGCTTGAAACCTAGCTCCTTGACCTCAGGACTTCCCTCCTCCGTATCACACAGAGTATTGAGCGTTTCTAGGACAGCTTTCCCAACGTCCGCATCCAGTTCAGCGTCGTTCTGCAAGACCTCCAGTAGACCGGGTAAAGCGCATTCGCCGACATCTCGCTTGTGATCCCGAGACAGGCCCTTGAGTGATAATACCGAGGCTCGGCGATCAGCAAGTAAAGTCGACGGCGAGAGTCTGTCGCTGAGCCTCGAGATTGTCTCAAGAGCCGTCTGAGGAGCCCCCGTCGGCCCTCGCAAAGCCACGTAGGTTTGAGACAGGAATTCCATGTCGGCGAGGAAGCCGGCGGCAGCGAGCACAGGAGGAGTATATTATTGCATTATTTACAAGTTCTTGGATATCATTACTTGCATTGGACATATCTCCATCTTATCACGCGTAACGGGCAGATTAATCCTTGATCGCAAGTTCTTCATCTGGTCGACTCACTCGCTGCAAGATCGCCAGCTTGGTTCAAGACTCATCGCCCGTACCGACGGAGAAATAAGCTGTTTCTTGCTTGTTGATAATATTGTCTAGGTGCCCAGCGAGACCGTGGTCGAAAAATGAGGAGTCTGGTCGTTCGGGCTCTCAGCCACATTGCTTTACTTGAGGAAGCTGGGCGAACAAAAATCACATCCATCTGCTATGATGTCGACGAAGGGTACGTTCATGCCGCTGCGGAGCTGGTGAATGCAGATGCGGATGTCGAAGTCAGCATATGGAAGACACCTGCACTCGGTTCTACTGGTGGTCGAGCGGAACCGGAGGTGAGTTCCCTTGCATCAGGATTCTTCCTCGTCCGTTGCGTAACCTGCACACGTGTAGTTAATCTCCAGCTTTACCTCGGCATGCCTTCCCCCTGGGTCCGACGTCGCCCAAGTCGTTTCCATGAGAATTATGGTAGAGTCGCGCACGATGGTATTTGTGATGCGCTCTGGAGACATTACGACTATCTCCCTGGATAATATGACAGACGAAGTAAGTTCCAGTATTCGAGGTGATAGAGTTGCCACCGACGTCCCTGTAGGCGGAAGTGGTAGGCTCCGTGGAGTCTGGCCTTCTGGCAGCCGCCTGGAGTCCGGATGATTCCTTATTAGTCCTTGTGACAGGTAAATTGTACGCGTCCACACCAGTAGATGCAGGTCCACTAATTAGCACCGGTAAGGCGACGAAAAGCTCATCTTAATGACATCGACGTTCGACGTACTGTCTGAAGCACCCTTGCACGCCGCGGATTTTGGGGAAGGTGGGACATGCTGAATGTTGTATCATGGTACTGTCACTGAGCATAAATGCTTGCTATACACCAGACGCCCCTATCAATGTGGGGTGGGGTTCCAAGCAGACACAGTTTCACGGCTCTCTCGGCAAAGCTGCCGCCCAAGTCCCGAGTGCATCATTGTCGAGCATGGGCTCCAGCCCTGACGATGACGCTCAACCGCGCATCAGCTGGCGCGGCGACGGTGCGTACTTCGTCGTGTCCACTCTCTCGCCACCGCCAGAAGAGGGGCTTCGCCGCCGCATATTGCGCGTTTACGATCGACAAGCGGCTCTGCAGTCCACCTCGGAACCTGTCGCTGGCCTCGAACATCCGCTAGCTTGGAGGCCTTCTGGTAATTTGATTGCCTCCACGCAGCGGTTCGGGTTCGAGGGTGGCGGTTCGGGCAAAGAAGGGAGACATGACCTCGTATTCTTCGAGAGGAACGGCCTGAGGCACGGCGAGTTCGGAATTCGCGAGACAGACTTGCGGTCTACACCGCAGACGGTCGATAGCAACCGCCAATGGGGCTACAAGGTGAAGGAGTTGAGTTGGAGTTCCGACTCTAACGTACTGGCGTTGTGGGTAGAAACCGAGGAGACAGACATAGGTGCGTCTATCTGCGTCTCATAAATGCGGCCTGCGTAAGGTTAGCTGACACGGATATGAAGTCCAATTATGGACGACTGGCAACTACCATTGGCAAGTCAGGCACAACTAACCGTATCCTTCATGTCTAACAAGTTATTAAAGGTACTTGAAGCAGGAAATACTGCCACCTAAGGGATCGGTTAGATTCACATCCGTTGCTTGGCATCCGGAGAAGGCTTTGCATCTTAGTTTAACAACTCCAAGTAAGTCACCGAACATGTCGAAAGACTCACTAATTTTGACCAGAATCTACTCAGCCCAATTAACACAGAAAATATTCGCGTGGAAAACTCACGCTTCCATGAGCAAACCTCCGCTGGACAGTGGATCAGTTGCAGTTGTCGATGGAAGTCAGTCCGTGCCTTATCATTGTCAGTCTCGCAGTACTTACCACGCGTGTCGGTAGCAAAGTTACTGCTGACACCGTTCCGGATGCAGAACGTGCCGCCCCCGATGTCTTCGTGCCAGCTAAACATAGGGAAAATTGACTCGCCTATGTTTAAGGATCACCGTACCCCAACCCACCTTGCATTTTCACCGCAGAAGGATGTACTCGGCGTTCTGTGGGGTTCGAATCGAGTACAGGTTTGGGATCTTAGGACCAGACTAACATTCGGACGCGGCAAGGTTATGGATCCTGTCCTGTTATGGGAAGACCAGATCGGCCGTGCTTCTGGTGAACGAGAAGCACGACAAATCAATCTATCGACGGAGGATGGCAGCCAAGGACGGCGGATTCACATTGCTGTCCTGAGTACCAAATATGACGCCGACGTTGTGGACGTCTTGACGTCCGCTGAGATTACTGGGGGTCGGTTAACAAGGGAGACCGATCTGGAGCTTCCGGGCTGCAATGGGTGGCTAGTCTCTTCCTCGGATGGCGCAATAATTTGGGAGTCCGCAGACGGACGGCTTCACTCCGGTGGGTACTTAGAACGGTTCACAATCTTGGTTGGATAGGTCGTAACCTCGAGCTTTACACAGTTGAACCGGACGGCGATATTACTCAGACATCGCGCTTCCCTGAGTTCTGCTTAGACTCTTCAGCACTCGTCACCAGTGATTCAGGCAAAGAAGCTCGATTCTTCGTCGGGTTGGCTGACTCGGGGAGACTCTATGTCACTGATTCAACGTCGCGCCAGCGTCTCATCGCTTCAAGTCTGAATTCGTTCGCATTGGCATCAGATTTTGTGATATTCACCACGACATCACATGAAGTACACTTTGCACCGACGGAAAGCCTTTCAGAGTTGTTGAGCAGTGCCGAGGAAGTGCCGGGCATAGTCAGCTGGGAAAAACGACGAGTGGAACGAGGAACGAGGATAGTTACGGCGGTGCCAAGTACTATGACGCTTGTTCTCCAGATGCCCCGGGGCAACCTAGAGACGATTAGCCCAAGACCCTTGGTCATGAAGGCCATCATGGAGGACGTAGAACGGTACGTGGATTAACTTCAGAGATCCTCCGAATCTGACACGACTTGTCACAGGGGTAAATACCGCAAAGCCTTCTTGGCTGCTAGGAAACACCGCATCGATTTAAGCACCTTGGTCAATCGTGATGAGACCGCGTTCTTGGGCAATATTTCCTCGTTCGTGGAGCAAGTCGGGGACCCGGAGTATTTGAATCTTTTCTTGACGAGTCTAGGGTATGTCCGGATGCAGTCGGCCACGATAACTACTCATCATCATTCCAGTTCGAGTTCCCTAAGTCCGGAGATGGTCGCTAAGTTATGCGACTCCATCAGGTCCGAAATGGAGTCGAAGGATCTGAAGAAGTATACGAGCTCGATCCTGACATCATATGTAGTTAAAAGACCTCCCGAGTACGAGCCTGCTCTCCAGCTTTTACTCCGCTTGCGAGGTAAGTTGATAGCCTCGGTTTGACAGACGTACGCTGATAGCGAACGTACGTAGATGACGAACCAGATCTGGTCGAGGACGCTGTCAAGTACATCATCTTCCTTGTAGACACCGATCGACTGCTCGACACTGCCTTGGGCATGTACGACTTCTCGATTTTCCTGATGATCGCTCAGCATGCGCAGAAGGTCCAATTGACTTCTTTTTCCAGTGGTCTTTAGCTGATGAACGAATCCCTAGGATCCGAGGGAATACCTGCCTTTCCTGCGTGAATTACGGTCTTACGAGACCGACTATCAAAGGTTTAAGATAGACGATCATCTCAAGCGCCACGATAAAGCCTTATGGAACCTCCGGCTGGCTGGTAAGTAAGTACGTATCTGCCGAGCATCCGAATATGATACATTCGTCCTCAGGGTGGGACAAGTTTGACGAAGCTATGGAATATGTCGAGCGACATAGGTTATATGAGCTTGCTTTATCACTCTGGAAGGACACGGATCATTATGCTGTGAGTCGCTTGAGTCTCGGGGTCCCTCACTTGAAAGCTGAATCGTGTTAGTCCGTCCTTGACATATACGGCGATTGGTTGTTCGAGCGGCGAGAATTCAGACAAGCGGCGCTAGGTGAGACATCTCTTTCCCGGACGTCGTCTTCTGACGTGCTTTGTTATTAGCATTTCTGGAAGCCCACAGACAGCCGAAGGCCCTCGTCGCATACGAGAAGGCATTGGAATGGCAGGAATTATTCGACTTGGCCGTGTCAAGCGACATCCCCCAAGATGAGCTCGCGAATATGGCTTGGAGAGTTGCTGGTACGCTGCATCGTCATATCCTAGCGCTACTCAGGTTGTAAGTTTCACAGAGGGCTTAATGTCGAGAAAGCGGTTCGCGGATGCTGCCACTGTGCTCATTGATTACGCCAAGGATTTTCGACAGGCAATTATTGCTCTGGTGGAAGGGAACCTCTTCTCAGAGGCTCGAAGGATTGTTCGTGCCATATTTCATTGGCACAGTTTCTACCATATTTACCATCTTTCGTCAGATCTCCCTCCATAAGACGCCCGACCTCTTGACGGAAATCGTTCTCCCAGCAATCCTCGAGAGTCGAAGTCAAATAGGAGAAGATATTAGTGAGATGAGGGAACAACTGCAGAAGCAGTTACATCGAATCCGGGAGTTACGCGTAAAGAAAATTGAGGAGCCAGGTATGCATGCTTTCGGCTGACCTTACAGTTGCCTCGTTTAACAATATTCAAGACGCGTTCTATGGAGTGGAGGATACCACACTGCACAACGTAGATGTCATGACGGACGTTTCGATGGCTCCTACTGCCTTCACTCGATACACGGTGGCTCCCTCTACCGCGTCTCGCACGTCCAAGTACGTGATGCTACTTTCATACTCGATTGTGGACTAACAAAACGCGGTGCTGATTAGGCGCAGCTCACGGTCGAAACGGAAGATGGAAAGGAAGATTGGATCCGGTCGGAAGGGTACAGTCGATGAAGAAGAATATCTACTGAACTCCGTGACGAAGCTCGTGAATACGTTTACGACTTCACAAGGTAAGCCAAGTATGACCTTGGGTATTGAGTAATGGTTAGGCATTGTTGCAGCGGAAGCGGGCGCACTTTTGCCCCATCTTTTCCAGTTTACGCCAGCGCATAAAGAAGCGGGGTCCTCGCTCCAAGATGATATACTGGCTTTTCAAGCGGAACTTACAGAAGCAGTTGAAGAAATATGGAGAAAACCTGTCGAGAACGACGAAGCCGGTGGCCCACCCGAGGATAGCTGGGCAGCCAGGATAGAGCGACTTGAGAAAGAAAGGACGATCAACCCCATAGACAAAGTACCGAAACCACAGCTGAGTTCCGGCGATTGGAGTCTAGCGCTCTTGCGTATTGGGAAGCCATAGCATTGGATTCGCACCTGGATCTATTCACTGACTGTAGCAAGTACATCTTCCGACGTCGCTGTATCAATAGTACGATCGCGTCACATTATGGTACACAATCGTACATGATCCGCCATTGAGCTATAAGGTCAGGTCAGTTTACAGTATCTCCCTCGGCCTTGATCTCGGTTTGAGCCTTTCATTGTTCAGGGCGTGCAGCCTCATCAACCACGCTTCGGGAACGTACATCACAAGAAATGACCTTTCGGGAATAAAACGTCGCTGCACATTTGAACGTGTGATTCGCGGTAGAACAACTTCTTCTTCGTTTCCTTGAAACCCAGTCTAGGATGCCTGTAAGCAGTCCAATGTGCGAAGGCCAGTCCTATGATCGCTCTTTGAGCCATCCATGGCTCACAACCGAATTGTCCCAGAGAAATGTGCATGTACCTATCTATTTATCAACTGGGGACCCACAACGATACATCAAGCGTGCCTTGTGGCACACATGTGAATTGCCGTTCCCGTCCTGGTTTGCCGAGCATACCATATTCGAGGTCGGCTTCGGGGTCGGCGGATAAGATGCTGTGTCGTAGAGGTATACCTGGAGGCGCCCCATTATTATCCTCGATAGATTCAGAAGAAGACAAAAAACAAGGAAATTCTCTGAAGGTTGGCCTGGATACACAGTGTACCCTCATGCTCTATCCATATGGGCATTCTCACAATTGGCTCCCGCTTGCAGATGTCCCCTTGTTCGAGGAACTTTCGCGGTAGAACTCTATGAGCCATGCGCTTAGCGGAATATAGCGGGTAATGCTTATCATTCTTTCTGCCCGAGTTCGATGGTGGGCACAACAGGTGCGCAGCACTAGCTTCGTCGAATCGCCCTTGTTTCAAGTGGTGTGTACGCTCACTGTCATTGTTCTATTGTGGTATGCGATCGCGAGCGCAACCGAAATCCTAGGGAAGTTTGTACCATCCAATGCCGTATAAATACCCCAGCCATCGTTTCGTAGTATCAGAATCAAGTTACCCCCAGAGACAGTCTGCAAGGCAACAAGCTGAACACGACTGCACTCGTACGTGGACTCTCGAGACATATCAGAAGTTAAGGGTGCGTCGCCTCTTCTGATGTATTGCATCTGGCCTCAATATTCTCTCAGTGATCATTCGTGACCTTCAATCAGAGGACGAGTAACTGCGAGACAATCATGCCTAGCCAAAGATCTCAGGAAGAACTCGAAGCTTATATAGATGAGACTTTGGTAGGTATTTCACATGATCACGGAAGATGAACACGTTAGTAATGATTGGTAGCGCGCGCACCCTGAATTCCAGGAAGGCGAAGAAGGGGAACAGCTCCGGAGAATACTCATGTTCTCTATTGGTATGCCGGAAGTACGAGAAATGATTGAGGGTGCCCTCGATGAGTTGGTCGTAGCAAAGCACATAGAGAGGCTTGACCAGCAGGTAAGTACCTTGATTGTGCGTCGTCGTTTAAGGTCTGGCTGATTTCAGACATCAGAGTCTGAAATACTGTGATGTGGACAGCCCCGAGCATCGCGCCCTGGAATCAGCCCTCTACGACGTTCTGCAAAAGGCGGGAGACGTTCTCCCGGATCTGGTGCTGAATCGCGGGGAAGTTCGTGTGGAGCCAAATCCCAAGCCCAGCGTCATTTCCAAGATATTTGGAAAAGATTTTCTCCCTGCAGATCACTATGTCGGCACTTACCTCGGGAAAGAGAAGGTCGTAGTAAAGGCTATTCTGCATGCAGGAGCGAGGGATGCGGTATGGGCGGATGTAAGTGGCGTACTACTTCCATCTGACACTTGTTTTGAGGTCTATACTTAGCGGCTGAAGAAAGAAGGAGAAGCTTGGAACAGAGCGTGGAGAAAAAACAAGAGTTATATAGTTCCAATATACGGCTTCATTGCGCAGAAGAAAGTGATGCCCTGGATGTAAGTCTTGCGCACTTTTTCATACAAAATATGGACTAATCGTTTGCAGCTCGGCCGTATATCCAAAGTACGACAACGGGACAGTCGTTCAATATCTGGACAATAATCCTTCTACTGACCACATGCGTATAGTAAGTAAAGCTGACTGGGTTCGTTCAATACTTCTCTAACTGTATCAGATTCGACGAATCGCGGAGGGTATGAACGCGTTGCACAATATGTGTATAATCCACGGGGACCTAAGAGGAGTAAGTGATTTCCTCGGTATTCAACAGAACTGTGCATGGTCTGATGCCGTTTCATAGGCTAATATCGTGATCGATAAGCACGGAAATCCCCTCATTGGAAACTTTGACCTCGATCATGTATGTTCATCAATTATGGGCATATTTCATCATGCTTACGTGACTCTATTCCACCAGATCAGTAATTCTCGTCTGTATGCTTACATTTCGCAAGAGGAGTCCGGTCGTTGGCGGGCCCCGGAGATGCTGGAAGGCCGGATACCACTGGCTTCTGCGGATGTATATATGTTTGCCATGACCGCCCTTGAGGTAAGCGTTCGCTAGTCTCAATGGAGCCCCTTCCCATTTCGTCCTGACACATCTTCCGGCAGGTACTCACGCACAAGGAGCCATATTACTACATCGAGCGCACAAGCACCGTCTTGGAAAAGATACGCAAAGGGGTGTGGCCTGAGGAGCCAAAAGACGCCCAGGTGATTCAAAGAGGTCTTCATGTGGGGCTGTGGCTGGTGCTGTCGACATGCTGGATGCCAGACCCTGGCCTCAGACCGGAAATGAAGGAGGTGATCCATCTGCTGGAGAGATACTATCCAGGCCGACGCTAACTCATATCCAGTCGTGTAGTCTATTATTCCCTATATTAGTCAAACATCCGCCATATATACCACTGATTAATATGCTCTTGATATGATAGTTTTCCACGATTCAGCTTGCCAGTGTCCCTTCAATCCAATACTAATCTCATGAGCCTGAGTCGAATGATCACCGAGACTGTGGAGTTTTATGGAGGAAACTTAAGTGTCTTTACATGTATTTAAGTGGCTTCATGGCACAAGGGTTACGGACTACGAGACGGGGACACATACAGTACCCCTGCAAGTGCACTCGCAGGCCCTGCACACCATTCCACTCAACTGCTACGTGATGCTATTTACTTTCACTTTATCCGACTACTGATGATGACTACACCGCATACACCTGGTCCCGGGGTCCCGGGCCGGTCATGACCGAACAGGGTGCAGTCATGTCCCGCCGCCATCCGCAGAACAGTGATGGTGCCAAGGGGCCAACGGCCAGAAAACGCGCGACGGCAACCCCCTAAAGTGAACAGGACCCCGAAAGCATCACGTAAGAGAGAGGACCACCTTGATAAGGCAATTTGTGGCGGTTCCTCTTCTGCCTGGGTTTATGTTTTGTGTGGTCGATTGTCGGGAATCAACAAGCCTCTGTCATCCATGTACACATAGGTAATAGCTTATAACTACTTATATATATCTTTGATCCCTAAGATCACATTGTTCAGTTCTGAAAGATCCCCAACACTTCTCAGTCGATGATATTTCTGCACTGACTCAGACATACAGGAACACCTCTCTACTTCCTGATGCATAAGACTGGTTATAAACAGTGCTTATAATATAGTAGTTCTCTTGACAGAGCTGTTGGTGGGCGCATATTTGCCAAAGGTCCGTTGTGACCATGACCATAGGGCTTGATTGTGACGGTTAAGGCCGTCACAGCCACTTCCTATGTTTCAACGGACTATTTCCT